GTGCTGTAGATCCGCTTCTTGGTCCAGCAGCGTGGGGAGCAGGACCATGTGCTGCAAACCCTGGAGGAGGAGACAAGGAAGATGGAGGCTAAGTTACTGGCTGCTGTGAGGGAAAAAACTGGCCTCTCTTCCAATGTGGCATCTCTGGAGAGACAGATGGGAGAGCTCAAGAAAGCCAATGAGTTCTTAAAGGCCAAGGTACCTGCACTGCCCCTCGGACTCATCTGAAATACTTCTGTCATTGATGTTGCTGGATTGTTTGAGCTTAATCACAGTTAAAGATCCTTTCTTTAGTCATTTTCATCTGTGGTTTCATCAGATCGGTTTTAATGGGGTGCCCTTTCCTCAAAAGGTTTCTGCAGATACTGCCAAAAAGAGGATTAACTCTCTGTCCCTGGAGTTAATTGAAGCAAAAAATAAGTTGGATGTGAAAGACAAGGTAAGGGTGTGAACCTGGTTCCGTCTAGGTGAAGATGGTGATTAGATCATTCTGCATAACTCTACACAGTTCTTGAATTTAAATGACTGCTTTTGATTTTAAATAACCTGCTTTTAATGGGTTTTAATACATGAGTATACTCCAGACAAGCCAACTTCACTTTTCATCTGGCTGCAGGAGCTGAGCTACCTGCAGATCAGCTTAGAAGGTCAGGTGAAGCTGCTGGAGAAGGAGCTTGAGACCTCGCGTGTGACTCTGGCGGCTGTGAAGGACAGGGACGGGGACCTGGGTGAGTGAAACCGCTGTGTTACAGGAGCGTCACATACAATTTGAGGAGGGGGCTTCCATTTGAGAGCTGTGGAAATGTTGATGCTTTAATTCAAAGCGACATGCAGTTGAGAAAGCAGGGCCGGCCAGCCAGCCCCAACAGCCATTGGAAGGTGCCCGGCTATGACATCACTCTGCCAAACGCAGGATTTGAAGCAGCAACATTCCGATCACAGGCACAGCACCCTAACCTGTGGAGCCATACACGGCCCCCTGTTTAATAGTTTTTTTTTTTTCTCCCACCCAAGACCAGCTCTACCAAGACCATAAAGCTCAGAACGAGGAACTGACCACTGAGAATGATAAGCTGAATGGTAAGATGTTACACTTGCATTTAACACACATTTGTCCAAAGCGATGTTTAGTTGAAACCAAGCAGCCCTGGATCAGTCAGGATTAAGGCCCTTTCTCAAAATTATATGATTATTCTGCTGGTTGCAGGATTTGAAGTTACATCCTTCTGGATGTAAGACCATATCCCACATTGTCCTGTTCTGGTTTTCTCTTCATGAATAACTTGTCAATTTACAGTCATACTCCTGCTCTTTTAAGCTGTTATCCACGAGCTGAGGAATGACATCGAAGTGCTGCAGGGGTACCTGGATACGGCCAACGAGGAGATCCAGGTACCATTAACTTAGATGAACTTGTTTAGACCTGTAAGCCTTCAAGTGTGCCTGAGCTGGTTTCTTGTATATCTTTAGTGTCTGCGTTTGAAGCTTCAAGAGAGCTCATCTGAGGTGGACAGTAAAATGTCTGAGTCTATGGTAAAATTAAGGTAAGGGTCTTGCTGCACGTCTAGGGTCCTATTTAGCATCCAGTGCAAAGCGACACCAGGTGTGATGCATACATCTCTGCCATGCGAGCCCGGCGCTGTCGTCACGCATCTCTGCCATGCGAGCCCGGCGCTGTCGTCACGCATCTCTGCCATGCGAGCCCGGCGCTGTCGTCACGCATCTCTGCCATGCGCCCACGTGGCAGTGGTATCTTAATGGGTAGGGAAGCACACTTGTAATTGAAAGATTGCAGGTTTGAATCCCCGACCAGCAAGGCACCACTGAGGTACCCTGAGCAGGGTACCACCCCCAAGCACTGCTCCCCGGGCGCTGAATTAGCTGCCCCCTGCTATGTCACATATGGGTTCACTGCAGAGGACACATTTCGTTGTTGTGTGCTGTGGTGTGTCAACAATGACAGCTAATCACTTTCCCTAAATAGTAAATGCACAGGGGCCAGTCAGCATGTTCAATCCTAAAATGAGGAGTCAGGTGCATCGTCGGCGCATTATTTTGGGGCAGCCATAAGCAACTGTGCAGTTGACCAAGAAAAGCCTGGTCTTCCCACCTGCAAAGGAAAAATACATTTAGCATGACTGTAGTTTGACAGCAATTTGGTGCATTTGTCACAAAAGGCAAGTGGTTCCCATTGTGGTCACTCACAATGACAAACTGCTAAATACTTGCGTCCTCCAGCGTTTTACCTGCTGTCTCTGCTAGCTTTCAAAATGGTAACATTCTTCTGGAAGTTCCAGCATAGGCTGGCTGTGTAAAAACTAAATTAGGCGTAGTAACCTATTTTTCTTTTATTCTGTGAATTTTAATGACCTATCTGTTCACTCATGTACGTAAATAATATTCTGATAAAATAACAAACATTTGAGCTCCCGCATTCAGGAATGTAAATCTGTCCTGCAGCGTACTCCACTGCCGCAGGTCTCCTGGCTCTTAAAGGGAATGTGAGGTGACACTCTGCTTTATAGCATGTTATGGCTCAAACACACCTATCACTTTTTGTGAGACTTGGTACAACCCTTTTAGAGCATGCGGCTGGAGCGGTGACTTGTTCTGGCATTAATCTAGCAAAATAGCTTTAGTTTGCAGAAAATTCAACATGGGCTTTGAATCACAGAGATCTTGAGCACCAGCTAAAGCAGTGCACTGAAGAGCTGTCAGAATCCCAGAATGCACTTGGGGAGAAGGAGCGGGAGCTGGAGAGACGTGACAGGGCGCTGCAAGACTCCAGGAGTATGTGTGGAGAGGGGGAGAGGCAGCTGGAGCAGCGGACTCAGGAGCTGCGAGATTCCCGAAATGCCGTGAGCCATCAAGAGCAGGAGCTGGCCAGGCTCAGGGACATCCTGAGGAGAACCGAGGAGGAACTGGACCAGCGGGTCGCCCTCCTTGGAGAAAGGTGCCTGCATCTGGAGGAGGAGAGAGGTACTGAGGCATGTTCTTTCCTCTTGTTTAAGCTGCCTTCAGAATTTTAGGTTTTACTTGAAGGTCTGGTTGATTTTAATATCTGGATCGCTTAAATTTGAGGAAGCACAACGGTGATTTTGTCATTTTAGTGTCTGAGGTAACGGTTGCTTTGCCGCACAGGTAAAACGCAAGAGGAAGGGCTGAGGAGAGTGGAAGAACTGAAAGCAGAGATCACATCTCTGCAGGACAAGACAAAGGCAGACCAAGAGTCATACTGGCAGCTTCAGCAGGCCCACAGAGTCCTGGCTGAGCTTCTGGACGAAGAAAAGGTGAGCCCTTTTCTAATGTCAATACCCGTCTGACCTCATTTTAGATTGATTGGTGTGCTCTGGATGGCTGCATTTGGTAGTGAGCATGTCGTGGTGACCGCCCCTGTCCCCCTGCCTCAGTCACGGGCAAGCTCGCTGTCGGACTTGGTGGAGCGTCTGCAGGCGAAGACGGAGGCGGAGCGCTGCCAGCTGGAGTCGGAGCTTGAGGAGGTCCTGGAGGAGGTGTCTCAGCTGGAGGCGCAGGAGCAGCGCAGCGAGGAGGCCATGCAGCACCTGGAGCAAGTGAACCGGGAGTTGCAGATGGAGCTGAAGACGGTACAGGCTGAGGTGGAGAGGTCAGTGACTGGGGAGACCCTGGAGGGAGATTTGTATAGAAAGATTCATATAAACTGAAGCTTGGTTTAGGGTTTTATTGTTCTCAAGTGTTATGGGTGAATGTGGGATGGCAAGAGCCAGGTTGTGTTGAGCTGACAGAGAAATGCCTTTAATAGAAAGCATTTGGAAAGGGCAGAACTAGAAGAGCGCCACCACTTGGAAATGAGAGAACTCCAAGAGGGACACAGCCTGTCCTGGAAGAGGACTGGAGAGATGGCCACTGAGCTTGAGAGGTACTGGGGATGACTGGCCTACGATTCCTCAATAATTTTGTTTCACAGGAAGCAGTTTAATTATTGACCTGTGATGATTGGCAGCACCAAGAAGTCGTTGGCTGGCTCGATGCCCCTCGTAAAGGCTCGATGCCAGGAGCTGGAGAAGGAGGTGAAGGAGGTGAAACAGCAGCTGCAGGACAGCCAGCTTTCCCTAGGCAAAGCTACAGATGATCATGCCAGGTGGGCTAACGCGTGATGCTGCTGTGAAAGGCTGAGCGGAGATGATGTGAAGCATGAACCTGTAAACTGACTGGAGGCAGATTTAATTTCATTGAGTAAATCCATCCCCTTTAGTTTGGGAGTCCTGAGTTTTTGGATTGTTTAAAACACTGCAGATTAACACAGCACATGTTTTGGCAAAACTAACTTCCATTTCTGATGATCTGGTTCAAGCTGTCACTACTTTTTTTTTCTATTTTTAAGCATGAATAAAAATCTGCCTCCTTTACTCGGTAATATGGTGAAAGGAAGACTGGACATGGCAAAATGAGGGTCTGAAGAGCAAAGGAAGTACAGGCAGTCCCCAGCTTACGAGCAAGAGCTGTTCCCAAAAAATAACTACATGATGATACAGTAGTAATGAAGTCGCTGCATATGGTACCGTTACTGCGTGTTCATCATGCATGATTGTAATTAACCCAAATTTTTTATATGATATGGCAGTCGCATCGTAAGTACAAGTTGTCTTCAAGTCAGACGTTCTTAACTTGGGGACAGCCTGTATGTTGGCAGCCATATATAATTTTGTTTGTGTGTGTTTACACCGGATCCCCTGATTTCTTCCTACAGTGCAAAAACCTGATTATACTTCCTTAAGACTCACTTAATGGAGTGCCTAAACTGACCATATAAAAAATGTCCAAAAATATTGCCCAATTTAATCATGAAATAGATCGATAGGTTATGCAATTATTAATATTGAGCATTAATAGCCGTAATCCTGTTTCACTTTATTTTTGGAAAAATGTTCCACACTGTAACATGGATGCAGTCTTCCAGAATTTTCTGGAACTCTGAGCTAGTATGGACCCAAAATTAACTGGCTGATGTACTGATCTGAGGACAATAGCTAGCAGGAAAATACTGGCCTGATGTTAATCAGACTGTTTGGCTTGTTAATGATAGCTTGTAGTGCTCATTAAACCCGTGTGGTCTCTCAAATCAGCAGGCAGGAGGGGTAAATTAAAGCTGAATGCTGTAATGCTGTGGGTCATCTTTCTAATATGTTTGGTCATTGACAGCCTGCAGTCGACTTTTGTATCAGAGACCTCCGAACCAGAATGTGTCAGTGATGGTCCATCATGCTTTGCGAAGTCTGGGCTCGTACCGATAGCCGGCTTTGGATGTGGATTTGCAGTGTGACATTTGTCTTTTTTTTCTTTTATTTATTTATTTAAATATGCATACTGTGACTATTTGTATTGCAGGGCATTGCTGGATGTGCAGACAAGGTTGGCTGAGAGGGATGCAGAGCTTCGGAGCACAGCAGAAAGTCACACCTCAGTGGTGGTCCAGCTCCAGTGTCAGGTGGACCAGGAGAAGACAGAAAGCCAGGAGCTCCAGGGACTGCTGGAGCAGGAGCAGTCAGAGAAGGAGTCTTTGAAGGAGTCACTGGAGACGCGTCTTGCAGAAATCAAGGAGCTACAGACCCAACTGGAAGAGCTGCAGCAGGAGAAGCAGGATCTTCAAAGACAGACAGAGCAGGAAAAAGTGGACCTGAAGAAGCAGATGGAGGATGAGAAGAGAGCCATTCAAAAGGAAATGGAAAGTGAGAGACTGGAGTTGGAGAAGCAGATGGAGCAGGAGAGGTGTGATTTTGAGAAGCAGATGGAGGAAAGGATCAACTATGAGGGGCTGAACGAGCCTGAGCTCCAGAAGGGGTGAGCGTGGTGCGAGGTGGAGAGAACATGGTGGTCTGTCTGCTTTACGATTCGACAGCACCGTCTCCTGATTCTGTGTTAGGTGTCTGTGATGTGTAACCAAGTACTTTAAAGACAGCATAGCTGCTCTAAAGTTATAATGTTACATCACTGTCGCTTATCTCTCAGCGCTGCAGACTCCACAGAGTTGGGCATCTGGCGAGAGCGCTACGAAGAGCTCTACGCCAAAGTTAAACCTTTCCAGGTAGGCAAGGCATCATTCTGAAAGCTCAGGGGTTCCCTGTGTTCTAGTATAATGTAATGGTTCGGTAGGTGGTGATAGTCCCACTTAACGTGCGTTTGACTGCAGGAACAACTGGATAGCTTCTCAGAGGAGCGGGATGCCCTACTAAACAAGAACGGGGCCACGCAGGAGGAGCTGAACAGGCTGGCAGATGCTTATGCGCGTCTCCTGGGGCACCAGAATCAGCGGCAGAAGATCAAGCACGTGATGAAGCTCAAGGAGGAGAACATCTCCCTCAAGCAGGTGACGTGGCCGATTCTTGCCGGGACGTCTTTTTAAGAATGGTAATCTGGGACACTGCTAATTTCATCGGGATTTACCATGTAGGTGCCAGCTCCTTCCTCAACTGTCTTGCAAGCTGGTTTGAAGTCCGTGTCGTGCCAAGATGTGTCCTTCAAACTGCGTGCATTTTACATCAGTGTGTTTCTAGTCATTCTGAAGAGCGTAGGGACAGAATGTGTAGTGATAGTGTGCTGCGGCATTGCTTGGCAGTCAGTGACCTGCTCTTATTTACCGAATTTTGTGTTTCAATCTGATGGCACTTGCCTGATTTACTTTCGGAATGAGCATCATCTTTGCGCCCTTGTGGCCATCATGAAATTCCTTTGGACAACCGAAGTTGTAACATGTAAACGAACACAGGAAGTGTCAAGGCTCAGGGCTCAAATGACACGGCAGAAGAAGGACGTGGAGCAGCTGAAGGCCAGTCAGGTCCCTCGCAGGTTTGACCCAAGCAAAGCCTTCAAACATGAGAGCAAAGAGAACCATCACCCCCCTTCGATCCTCAGGCAAGGTGAGAACAGTCATCAGATGTCATGAGGTTCCTCAGGTATCTGAGATGCACTGCAGCTCCCCTTCAGTCTCTGCCTTCTAATGTGTTTTACTGGTCATTTTTTATTATGTTTTTTCTTTTTTAACAACATATTCTCTCCCCTTTCAGAAAATTAGTCTGTACTGGGTTCCTGGACACCCTGGAGTCCATGGCGATCATGCAGGGGCGGTGCCTGTGTGTGTTTCCGTATCGCCTGGCAGCCAGCTGAGGAGATTGGTGTTTGTGTGTAGGGGACCTGTACCTTTGATAAGCACTGACCTCAACTACTGGGTCTATGGGCTTTTTCATAGGGTTCATGTCACTGTATATATGGTTTCTGTTAAATGACTGCAAACATAGATGTGAATATTAACTATTTGGGATTGGAATTTTTACTAGTATGTTTCACCCTGTTTCTGCCTAATTGTGGTAAATGTTTTGTGTCCTGAGAGTAAAGGGATACATGTCTGTACATCAACTCCTTTTGATTGATTTTGGGATTTTAAGTTTGAGTCTCTCCACTGAACCATTTAGAGTCAAATCTGCATTCTCAATATCAACCATAATTTTCTGTAAAATATTTGTGTGTTTGTAACATTGTCTGTGAACGTCTAAATTAAGTATTAAACATTGTTTTTGTTCTGGGGACTTAAGACAACTGAAAACATTAAAATAAATTTGCTTAAAGCACAGCTGTTCACTTGTTGATGTACCTTCAGATTCATCACACCAATAACGGTACGTTTCCTTTTGAATGTGTTCACGGCTCCTTGGATGACTTCTCACATTATAGTCAGAAAATGTATGATACTTATGTTTTGAGTAAGACTTGCAAACATGCAGCACTTTGGCAAGGGCTTAAAATCTTTTCATAGTTATTCCCTTACCTGGAGTTTAATGTCATGCATGTTTTCCTGTCTGTCCTTGCTAATGTGAGTGCGCAGCATTTAGCTTGACAGATGGCTAACACGCTCCAACAATAAACATCCGGGAAGCAAATATTGCTGTTTAAGATATTTACAAAGAGGCATTATGAGACTGAACACATAATAAGCATATATTACAGCTCAAACAATAAACAAATACTTAAATTAACTAGCGACTAGCGGGATGCTTGTATAATATTGTAAGTCCTGCTTCAATGTTTATTACCTTTTTCACAGATCGCAAACAACTTAACAGCTTGATGGTAAGTATTTAAGTTAAGTAATGCAATCAATGTCACTGTACTTTTAGTCCCAAAAGAACATACATAAACGGAGAGAAAGAAAACGGCAGCTTGTCTTCGAATCCATCTAGAACCATCGCTACCTGAGAAACTACGGTAAGCAAAAAGGAACAAACTAACGAAAACAATCTTACCACTTCGGGCAGCACACATGTTTCAAAGCTCATCACAAGTCAGCATTGTTGAATGTCTTATCTGAAGTGGCTGCATGTTATATTTGTACGATCCAGTAGAGGGCATTATAGTGCCATTTCAGAAATAGGTTAGCATTTACCCAATATCCAAAATACAGGTAACCAAATTGCATAAATTGATTTGTGTTGTGATTAGGAGCAATGGAAGTGGTTATTTATCACATGAAGGTTTCTTCCAGAGGATACTTGGAACTTTTTCTTAATTCTAATGACTTTTGCATGAATGCTAAAATGTTTTTTTCCCCTCTAATTGAGCCCTACCTAAATCTTCCTTCCGTTTGAGTTCTGATTAGTTGCTCAGTTGTAGGCATGAGTTTAGACCCTTTTCAATATGAGTTCTACGGTTGCTGTGCTCTAATATGAGGGCACCTACATTCTCGTGAAGGAATGGTTCTCTGTCCAGAGCTCCAGACTAACAATTTCCACTAATCACTGGTGCTCCTTACTGAAAATTTTATGAGTGCCACTTAAATCGACACGCTATGCCACCCATTCATGTTTTCTCAATCTTAACTGTGTCACTGATGAATGCTTTGGTAAGAAACATGCAATTAGTAGAACAACAATGCATTCCTGTCAAGTTTTGGATTTGAAAATAACGGAAATTTTCCGGCACCCACCGCGAGCCACCCCACCCAAGCTCCAGTATCCCTTACATTTTAAGACAGGTGTACACGAAATCTAAAATAACCACTTGTCATTTACATTTTATTTTCATTACACATTTTCTTTTCATTTCTAATGTTCATTCATGTGGCTCTCTGGCATTCACTAATGACTTATTATACAAATTTGTTGCAGACTTTGTATCCTTGTTGAAGTCGTCACAGAAGGTGAAAGTAACGTTGTTTTTGGCACACAGCATTGCCATTTTAACCTCCGCATTTATGACCTGGTTAATGTTGTAAATGACCTGCAGACTACTGCAGGTGGCAGTTCTCGCGAGGCTACTGACAGTTCGGTTTGGAGAGGCAGAGGAATTTATTTTTAATGTTATTATAATACGGGAGGACGGCGGGAAAGAAGGGTAAAATACGGTAGTTTCCCGGCCAAAACGGGAGACTTGACAGCTATGAACAATGTGATGTGCTGTTTTAAAGCAAAAGGAGTGAAGCGCTAAAGAGAAAAAAAAATCATTTTTTGTTAAACACCAAAGTTTCCCTCGCCACGTTTAAATGCACACTAAGAAAATTGAATTATTGTTAGTTCAAATAAAATCGGACTTTTAAAGTACATGTAAACATGGCTGTAGTACTGAAATCGTACTAAATTGAATTTCCCTTAGTCGAACTAAGACAATTAGACTTTAGATTCCTGGGGGGCATCGCCAGCTTGAATCTCGGAGTTTCGCCATGTGGTGGGCGCGGCAATGCGCGACATTAACACTTGGCTCCCTGACCTGACCTGATAGGGGGAAAAAACCTAGCAAGTTTTGTAGTGATTATGATTATTCATTTTCAAAATTATCTAGCACATGTTTAAAAATCAGTTTCAAGTTTACCTCCGCTGTTTCTGCATAAGCGCTGTCTCCCCGAGACAATCATAATTTTCATTCTTAATTGCTGTTTAAATTACTCCTAGACAGGTTCATGAAAATTTGTTGAACTTTTGTTTCATAAATACCCTAATATTTATTGCAACGAAATCACATTGCAATATTTGAAAAATCTCCAATACCGTGCTGTCATATTATACAAAATGCTTTATGCCGTCCTGACCTTGTTCTGTCTGTTCTTCCAACCAGATCGCATTTAAAGTTTCTGTCACCTCGTTTGTCCACACACCCATTGTTATTAATTTTATAATTTTTGTTGCGTCTGTCACGTCATAGGTGAACCAGGGAAATCCAATTCTAACAAGCTAAAAGGAGCCATATCGGCACCTATTGTAGTGGAGTCAGACATACTTAGGTCAATAAGTCGATTCCCCTTCCGTGCATGTACACCGGGACAAGGACAGCAGTCTGATTAAATGGCGTAGTCGAGCTATAACCGTAGCGTAATACCAGGAGGTATATAAAGCTTAATTAATGAAACAATGGCTGGGGAAAAAAATATACTGTATATATATAGCCTATATAGCCCTATATATAAAAAACACACACACACGGAAAGAGAGAAGCACTCCACTTAACGACCGAGTTCTGTTCCTACGATTAGGTTATTTAGTGATGGACAAATGAAGCTTGGTGAACCATTTTTTTTACTGCACTAGATGGTCGTATTGGTTTGCCTTGGGGCATGAATTGAGCCCTTTTTTTATTTTAAAGCCCTAACGGTGTCAGAAAATACAGTAAATGGTTTATGAAGCTTCGTTTGGCCATCGCTATCGTTAAGCAAATTGGTTGATAAGCGGGGAGCCGCCCCTTATCAATATTTCAAGCATACTGTACTGGTAGTAGGTTTGCGTCAATCATCTTTAGATATTGATTTAGTCACCTTAGCACCATTTATAGCATTATTAGTATATTTATAAATATTTATACAATAGTATACTGTAATAAACAGAATAGTGGAAATAAGCTTTAATATACATTAGTTAGGTTTGCACACTGTAAATGCAGGAGACTGCGTACGCTAGTGCAGTGAATACCAAACGACCGCGGGAACGAGACTGAGACTGAGAAAGGGTGACGTGAGATGAGACTATTCATTCTGAGGCACCACGCTGCCGTTTCCACAAAGTTCTCCTGCAGCATACAACACCAACTGGTAAAAGAGCTGGTTCTAAGTCTGGCTGGTCAGTTAACAGGTAGGTCGTTAAATGAGGCGTGTGTGCCTGCGTGTGTGTGGATTATGTTTATATTACATTGTGGAGACAAAATGTTACCCACAATGTAATAAAAACTTGTCATTTTGACATTGGTAGGAGCATTTTTCAGGTCCCCACAGTTATCCTGCATTAAAATGATCAAAGGTGCCAAACAGCCCCAGTCAGAGCTGTAAATTTTCTGATGCTTTGCAGTCAATTACTGTTCTATAAATGACACTGCATGCTTCGATGGGTTTCATTTTCTAAAGGTAAAACAAAGAACCACTTTGGGATGACTCGCTAAAATAGTGTTACATTTAAGGACCTTTTGATGCTTTTGCTGCAGGGAGGGGAAGGGGAGAGGGCAGTGTTATGTGATTTTACTGCAGGGCACCATTCACCTTGACCTAAGTTTCCCCCAGAATTGATGTTACTCCTGTTTGAAGAGTCAGTTCTGGAGCAGACTGGCTGTACTATTCCCTGTAGAGCTTTCCTCAGGTACCATTAAAAACACAAAATCCTCTCAATTCCTTTGTCTTCTTCACTCTCCCCCCCAAAAAGTGACTAATCCATCAACCAACTGGTTATTTACATTTGAAAGCAAAAAACAAAACCAATCTTATATTGGGGTCGGTGCCAGTGCATGACTACTGCACTAATTTGTGTGTCTAAGGACACGTCTATTGTTTGGGTGCCTTGAAGCTCCATAAGAACCAGCTTTGAGGAGCAGACTGTCATTGATTAGCACACCAACACTGAGTAGCACACTGACCCTGAGCAGCATGCCACACCGACATTGAACAGTATGCTGACATTAGCAACATGCCAACGTCAAGCAGCACATTGATGTCAAGCAGCACATCACAGACTGACGTTGAACAACCCGCTAATGTCGAGCAACACACTGTTGAGCGGCACACCGCACACTGGCGTTAAGCAGCACGCTGACATCAAGCAACATGCCAATGTCGAGCAAGACACCAACCCTGAACAGCATGCTGCACACTGACATCAAGCAACATGCCAATGTCGAGCAAGACACCAACCCTGAACAGCATGCTGCACACTGACATTAAGCAGCATGGCACCACTCAGGAGCACGCTGACCCTGAACAGGACACTGTCATTGGGCAGCACACTGACATCAAGCAGCACAGCAACTCTGAGCAGAACACCAATGTTGAAGAGCACGCTGACACTGAACAGCACGGCAACCCTGAGCAACATGCCACACAATGACATTGAGCAGCACACCTACATTGAGGAGCACACTGATATTGAGTAGCATGGTGACGTTGGTGTGCTGCTCAACATAGAGCAGCACACCGACAATGAACAGCACATCACACAACAATGTTGAGTAACACAATGAGACTGAGCAGCACAACGAGGTTGAGCAACACATTGACATTGAGCAACATGCCAAGGTGAAGCAGCATATTGACATTGAGCAACATATCGTAAACGGACCAGCACTCTGATGTTAAGCAGATGATGAAGCAGCACGGCGATGTTGAGC